GAGAGTCGAGATGGATTATTACATTAATTAGCAGATCAGTGCAATTTTTAAGAATTCATGTATTCTGGCCCCCCTTTCTAAAGTATTGGGGACACACCCACTAGCCTGCATCACAGACACCTGCTATTCATTTTTTTCTATGCTCATTCAGTGTGTTTTTACTGTTTTTGCACAATGTTCAGGCATGCACTGTACAAAACCTAATTATTTGTTTTCTCTTCAGTTCTTTAGCCTTCCATCATCTTGAACCAGAATTGCAAGAGGAATTGAAGAAGAAAGATCAAGTTTATGACTATGTTTATTTCAATAAAGGACTCTAGTGTTTTTTTTTTAATGTACTAACTTTAACCATAATATGGTAGATATATAACAAATAATATAGCCTTCAATAATATACAATGGGAATTATAGGGTGTATTAAAACAAATCATATGGGCAACTGTAATTGCAGAAGTTTCGAAGGGATTGAGTGTATATTTATTCAGGGCCGTATCAACCGGGAGGCTGCAGCCTCCCCCAATAATTTGCTAATATAATAATTCATTTTTCAAAATCATGCAGACGTATCATTTAATCCATGACAACCTGCAAAGAATGAAGAATAATTCAACAAACTTTCTTGCAACTTATCCAATATAATAGTTAATTAAATACACCTTTGCCCATTTAGTACTGAATTTGTAAATTTCAACATACTAAAACAGTAAAACGCTGTTCTCTGACCATCGGAAATGTCAGATGTTCCCCCAAAGTACAGGAAATCGCATTTAATTAAGACTCTCTAAATTTAAAAATTTCCTCAGGCCCTCATTTTCAGCCCCCCCCCCCGATCAAAGAGCTTCCTACAGCCCTGTTATTTGAGTACCAATAAAAGTTGATTTCTAGACAGTAGAACAGGATGGGTGAAGAGATCTCTAGTGGTCTACTTACAGTAACATGGATAGCAGATTTTTTCTGTTGTGTGCACCCCAAAAAACTTAAGATGCTCTTCGTTCAAATTTGTACAATGTGGCGACTGGAATTTACCTTCAATGAAACCAAAAATATCTCAAATTAATGCCCCTCGATACAAAGGTATTGCCTAAAAAGGAACTGGTAACCTTGATGATGAACACTAGTTCGATTTACGATTTAGTTTAGCTTCGCGAAATGGACGACACTTTTGGCGCCATTTTGAATATGGCGGGAACGGAAAATATTCGAATTCGTTCATTTCTTTTAGTACATTTGGTGGCTCTTAAAAGAGCCGGTTTTTTTTTTTTGGTTGTCTTTAGGACTTGATTTAAGCTCGTTCACCACGGATTCGTCGTGCCAGCTGGATGTCTTTGGGCATGATGGTCACTCGCTTGGCGTGGATAGCACACAAGTTCGTATCTTCAAACAGACCAACAAGATAAGCTTCGCTTGCTTCTTGTAAAGCCATCACAGCTGAACTTTGGAAACGAAGGTCGGTCTTGAAATCTTGAGCAATCTCACGAACCAAACGTTGGAAAGGCAGTTTGCGGATCAGAAGCTCGGTGGATTTCTGATAACGACGGATTTCTCGCAGGGCGACAGTTCCTGGCCTGTATCTGTGAGGTTTCTTCACACCACCGGTAGCTGGGGCACTCTTACGAGCAGCTTTCGTTGCCAAGGTCTTTCTTGGTGCCTTTCCACCAGTTGATTTACGAGCGGTTTGCTTTGTACGAGCCATTTCACCACTTGAATCTTGCTTTGGAATATAAACTTCGAAGGAGAATTTGCGAATAATTTCAAATTTTGCGCTCGAGCTTTTATAGCCAAATGTAAACAAAATCTGATTGGCTCATTTTTAACAAAGATATTGAAATCTGATTGGGTTACAATACTGCAGCATGATTGGCCAGTGAAATAAGACTTCTGATTGGTGTAGAATTGAAAACTTTGATCCTCCAAGCTTTTCAAGCTCCAGAAGCTAAATTTGAAGATTTCTTGTATATTTTTGAGGCCTAAGTTTAAAATTTCTAATCAAAATGTTCACATATAGATTTTTAACTATTCTACCTTTAAACGTTTTAGTATTGAGATTATTGACAAGTTGTTTTCCAATTTTTCAGATAATTATAGAAATAATGGACCATAGGCATGGTAATACAATTTATAATAGCTGTAGTATTTTAAATTTTGTCAATTTACTGTACAATGATTTTCAATCCCAGTTACTGCGTTAAAGTTTGATAAATCAGATTAATTGACATGTTGGTCTGATTCTACAGACTCCCCTCCCCCCGTGATAAGTTCAGTGTTTGGACCACAGAATAAAGATTTGGACGTTCTGAACATTTATGTGTCAAATAATATTTTTCTATTTAAAAGTTTTGCTAACAATTTTCATTTTAGAAAGGTCTGAACCCTTTAAATTAAGCAACATTTTTGTGAAACAATGAAAGTAATGAAACCAACCCAAGATATATCAGGGGGGACGGTCTCTTCTAACCACAACCCAAGATGGCAGCTGTAAAGAAGAAAACTTGTCTCATCGTTATTGATGGATGGGGCATAAGTGATAATACAGAAGGTATAGCACAGCAATGTCAGAAATAAGCAATTTTTCCAAATTTGTCAGCATATTTTTCTTGCATACTGTGTAATCAGTACTAGCTGTCAACATGATCCCTTTGAAAAACATTGATTATGTTTATAAATATGTATATATGTTATGTAATTTTGACATTTTATGTACAGGATTTACGAAAGTGATATTCGTAAAGTTACTCTGTAAAAGTTATTCTGTTGATGTAAACTAATTGCAACTGGCCACCTATATATCAAGTAATGATTTTATTAGCCATGAAAGGCCCAACTGGGATGGATGATAAGATCATGACTGATTGCATGCATTTTGGCATGCACGATTTGCAGAGTTGTAGGCCAGCTCAATTTCGGATTACTTAAAAGTAGTAATATAAAATAGGACTGTCATTACATGACATACTGAAAACATAATAACCTGCAGGGTGAAAATTAAGAATTTTTCTGGCAATCGGGCCGACTGGCCAACAATGAATTTCAATAATTGTAAGCTCCTTTTTGACCTACAAATTTCTAGGAAATGCAATATATCATGCTGACACACCAGTTATGGATGCATTCTCAAAGAATACTGACCAATATCTTACGCTCGATGCATCTGGATTGGCAGTAGGACTTCCAGATGGTCTCATGGGAAATAGTGAAGTTGGTCATCTAAATATTGGTGCTGGTCGAGTCATTTATCAGGCATGGAATAACATATATAGGCAATGATTAGATACACTACTTTGCACTCCTTAAAAAATGTACTCATTTGTTACATATCTCTCTGGAAAATGTGCACATTCCTAGACCCTAGATGTAAAAATCTGACTATTTAGAAGATCTCACCCTTTCAATTAATTTTACACATGCCTGCAGAAAGTCTACAATTCTTTTGGAAAATATAATCTTTTAAATGGGTCATTCCAGAAACCATCCATACCATCCCCATAGAGGAAATTGGAAGTTAACCCCCCTACCCCCTTCGGATGTGCTAATGCATTTACTATTATCAGAAACAATTTTGTCTTCCCTCCGGACAGCAGAAATTTCCTCCGTGGGGGGAGTGTGGATCCTTTCTGGAACGACCCAATATAATGTAAATTTATTATGCAAAGCTTTCGATCCGTAAGCCCGGATCTTCATCAGTGCTAATAATATGTGACTTGTTCAATTCACATGTTGTGATCTGTTGGCTTGCGTCATTTGAAATTTAATTAAACAGTACATCAACCACGTCATTTTAAACGTAGTGAAGTGAATTTTAATTAATGCACGCGCATCCAAAACAATTTTAACCTTCCTCAAAAATCTGCACTATCTTGAAAATCTCATCCAAACTTATTTCCTTAATTAATCATTGAACCAGCTAGACACCTTAACCCAAAGTGTGTCAGCACTCCCCTTGACGAGATAAAATGTCTGGTGTTAGAGTAAAATAATAAAGTATGGTGCATTAGGGCACAATGTAATCTAATGGGGTTAATAAAGTTACTAACCTGAAAATGCGCACTTTCTCTAGAATGTCATTGGCTATTTGCACCCCCCCCTGTGGGTGTTCTACAATAGTATACTGTTGTCTGGTTATTTTTCGGTTAAATGTTTCATCTTCTATAATAGGACATTGTACGGATCAATAAAGCAGTGCAAGAGAAAACACTTATACAGAACAAAAACCTGATTGAAGCATGTAATAAAGCAAAGAATGGAAATGGACGGCTGCACTTTCTAGGGCTTGTAAGTACCAATAATAGGAGCCATCCTGTACAGTATATCAATCCTAGACAAACCTCATTCAGGCTGTTATAGCTAAGATGCTGAGTCAAAATTAGTATCTGGAGTGATGGGATGCTAGCAATCTTTGTGAAACTGCAATGCAAAGCTAAATCAATAAAAGATAAATAAGACAGCGTTTTCTCCTCTGCCAGCAATTATTTTTGGCACATATCAGCAGCACATATAGATCAGTGTTTGGCCCTCAGATGCTGGATGCCAATCACTCCAGCAATTAAAAACTTATTGTCTTTTATAATATTTTCAGGTGAGTGATGGAGGAGTTCATTCACATATAGATCATTTGTTTTCATTTCTTGAATGTGCAAAGGAGTTAGGTGTTCCAAAAACATTTGTTCAATATTTTGCTGATGGTCGAGATACTCGGCCTACTAGTGGAGGCAAGTAAGCTATATTTAACCAATACTACATTTGTGCAGCTTGTTTTTGAAGAATGCAGATCTAGATTTCAATAAGTGGTTCTGGTTTGAAATAATGAATGGGAAACCACATTGACTGCTGTTCTCAATTTCCGACCAAAAACTGATGATGCCTTAAACAGCTAAATTATCTAGGAGTGATATCCCTAATTTCTCAGGCATGGATTTTCTGGCGGGTGCGGGGGGGGGGGTGCGCACCCCCAGAAATGATTTGCACCCCCCCCCCCAAAGGCATTTGGCACCCTCGCAAATTACATATATTTTGATTTGATAGTTTCATATTTGATTATTCTTACTACTAAATTTGTAAAATTACCAATATTATGATCTCAGATCTTGCCATGCAGGCCTAGAAAACAAATTTTGTTAAACTTTTTCCTTGGCCTTTCCGGACGTTGCCACCGTGCCCCAGCCAAAACAAGCAGCAGCACCCCCCCAGATATTTATCCACACCCCCCCCCCCCCGAACGAAAATATGAAAATCCGTCTCTGTAATTTCTGTTGTCAAAAACATAGCTTTCCCTAATGTCTCAGTTGATGGTGTCCCACCCTATGACTGATGTTTGCTCACCGCCCTCATACCAAATCAGACAGAGTCTATCCTAGAATTATATATTTGCCAGTTTTGGTCCCACAGTGTCCAATAAAAATGTTACCCTCTCCACAGTGACATATGTTCAACAAGTGCTTGACAAAATAAAGGAACTACAGTATGGCTCACTAGCCTTAGTTGTGGGTCGATATTATGCCATGGATCGAGACAAGAGATTTGAGAGAAATAAGATTGCTTTTGAGGGAATGGTGCAAGGGATTGGAGAGATTGCAACACCAGAGACTGTTATTGAGGTATGACTACATGTACTGTAGGTGGCGGTGGGGGGGGGGGGCTGACATACTTAGAATTTAGCAGGGTTACACCTTGGATTAGTCAAGTAAGATTACTGTCTAAAGACACTCATTGCCCATTGTAAGTACTATATTTTACAGTGCAAGTGCATTAGTTGTTTTTCTTCAGCAACTCAAAGATAACGTAACTACTGTAGCTGAAAATGTATACGAAACTGTACTTTGAAAACGGAATTCTGGCGTTTGAAAACCAAGTTTTACCATTTGAAAACCAAGTTCTGCCATTTGAAATGGGAGTTCTGGGCATTTGAAAAGGGAGTTCTGGCATTTGAAAAGGGAGTTTTGCTATTTGAAAAGGGGGTTTTGCCATTTGAAAGGAAGTTTTGCCATTTGTAAAGGGAGTTTTGCCATTTGAAAAGGGTGTTTTGCTATTTGAAAAGTGAGTTTTGCTATTTGAAAAGGGAGTTTTGCCATTTGAAAAGCAGGGTCTGGAATTTAAATATCTTTTCAGTATCCAACTGGGATACTAGGATTCAAAGTTTAGTATCCCCCCTGAGAATGCAGTATCCTACTTCTGGATACTGGTTACCATAAGTATATACCCTGTCCCATCCAATAACTCTCGCTGTTACAAATTACAATAAAACAGCACATAATATATGAGGAAATTAAGGCTTGGGTGGCAAACTCACAGTATTCAGAAGCTATCAGGAGACTGTCAGAGGTGCTTAAAATTTTCCTAATGTTTGAAATTTTCTTAGTATCCAGTTGGGATATAAGTCATTCACAGTTTGGTATCCAAAACCAAATTTTAGTATCCTGTGGATATCGGGATACTGCAAATTTCAGACCCTGGAAAAGGGTGTTTTATCATTTGAAAAGGGAGTTTTGCCATTTGAAAAGGGAGTTCTTCCATTTGAAAAGGGAGTTCTTCCATTTGAAAAGGGAGTTCTGCCATTTGAAAAGGGAGTTTTGCCATTTGAAAAGTGAGTTTTGCCATTTGAAAAGGGAGTTCTGCCATTTGGAAAGGGAGTTTTGCTATTTGAAAAGGGAGTTCTGGCATTTGAAAAGGGAGTTCTGGCATTTGAAAAGGGAGTTCTGGCATTTGAGAAGGGAGTTTTGCTATTTGAAAAGGGAATTCTGGCATTTGAAAAGTGAGTTTTGCTATTTGAAAAGTGAGTTTTGCTATTTGAAAAGGAGTTCTGGTATTTGAAAAGGGAGTTTTGCTATTTGAAAAGGGTGTTTTGCCATTTGGAAAGAGTGTTTTGTCATTTGTAAAGGGAGTTTTGGCATTTGAAAATGGTGTTTTGGCATTTGAAAATGGTGTTTTGGCATTTGTAAAGGGAGTTTGCGATTTGAAAAGGATATTTTGGCATTTGTAAAGGGTATTTTGGCATTTGTAAAGGGAGTTTTGCGTTTCAAACATATGACCATAGATTATAGATCATACCAGATGTCTCACTGTGTATCTATCCCTATAATTTTGGTGTCCGCGATTTTCGCGCGTGCGACACTTACTGCCAAAATGGCGCTTACTGCCAAAATGCGTGAATTACACTTACTGCCAAAATGGCGGCCAACGCGTGTTCATAAAAAATCGCGGACACAATTCTGGCTGAGTGATTCATCTGGTATTATCTATCATCTGTGATATGACCTTTCTGCAGAAGCTCTTCATCTGATTGGTTGATTTTTTACTGAGTGTTACAAGAAATGCTCACCCATGACAGAAATTTGTGATTCATAGAACATTTGTTAGGAGGAAGTCTTATGATTTTCTCAAATCATCAAATTCAATACAGTAATTATTACCCAGAAAATAAATATGTATGATATTTTATCAAAATTAAAATTGTGTGTTTTTAATCCAGGTAATAAAGAAACGTTACAATGCAGAAGGTGATGATTGTCAAACAGATGAATTTCTCAAACCTATAATTTTAGATCCTGACGGTCGTATACAAGGTAATTTTCAGTTTTCACAGGAGTTCCAGTTTACTGGGGTAATATCTTGAGCTTTAGTTTCCAGTGTGGGTAGCACGGTGTTGGTGGCTGTGTTACCACCATGGTCAAAACTGAAAAAACATGGCAAAATAAAACGCGGCTTGATTATATTTAACATAACCATGATTGTTTAATGGTAGCAGCAGTCAAAATCTGAACCTTTCTAATACCAATCTCATGAATAACAACAATTATGAGACGATACTGATATTGTGATGGCATTTTTAGATGGAGATACTCTGGTATTCATTGATTTCCGAGCTGATCGGATGAGGCAGATTGTGGAAGCATTTGGTATAAAACCACAGTTTGAGACTGACAAGATACCAAAAGATATTGTAAGTGATAATTAAGCCTGGTTTCCATATGGTCGTAATGGAGTGACGATTTTTCTCAACGGCCAGTTTATAATAGTTTATACCTGTAAACTACATATAAATCATAAGTATTCTCTAGTTATAATCACTCCGCATATTTTCAGTTCCAAAATGTTGTATTTGGGCTGACGAGAAAGATCGTGACTCAATCTTTATGACCGTTATGACCATATGGAAACCATATGAAAATCGATTATTTTTTATTTCTTTCAGAACGTGAATATAATGACTCAATATAAGAAGGAATTTCCATTTCCAGTTCTTTTCGCTCCTGGAGTCCCTAAGAATGTTCTAGCGGAATGGTTGTCTGTCAAAGGTGTTCCACAGTGTCATGTTGCGGGTATGACAGAAATACTCTGTATTGTGTCTCAACTATCGGAAAAAGATTAAAAATAATTCGACATTTCATGTAAAGTCCCTTCGACTTAAAATTGAAAGCAAACTTCCCAACCGTTTGTTTATGAATTTGGAAATATTTCTTCAAGAATCTTATCTGGATCAGTAGAAGTTGTTCTGGGTTCTTATCTGGATCAGTAGGAGTTGTTCTAGGTTGCTCTGAAGTTTTGAAATAAACAGACGTGCAGAAATACATAAACTAAATCCGCAGGTTAAATTTGAACCAATAGTTAGTGCCAATCCAGCTTCGAACATCTGCCCCCAGGGTTAGAACCACGTCCTAAATGAGTGTCGACAGTTCACCGGAGTCATTCGCAGCTTCGGACTTTATTTTAATTGTGACTTATTTTAGTTCACTCAAAAAGGCTGGTGAAATAGTCATTGAACTATTATTCCAAATTACTTCAGATAATTCAGTCATCATTGGTCATTAAAGCCCGTTTACACTTGCAACAGGGGTGGATCCCCCCCCCCCCCGTCGACAACTTTTTAGAGAAAAAAATTTTCCGGACTAGTACGTTGTAATTTGTAAACGCTTTTGCGTCACTTTCCCTCAATTTGCTATACCAAATTTCGAAAATTTTGAAAATTAGAACACTAGAAATGCCATTTCCTGCGATATGGGCATTGAATTATGAGCTTCAGTTTGACTTCAAAAAAAGAAAAACCTTGGAAATCATGCCATGTTTCTGAATTTGATTTTTTTTGCAGCCCCCCCCCCTTGCACCCCTGTTGACCAAGGCCAACAGGGGTGCGGCGCACCCTGTGCACCCACCCTATAAATCCACCCCTGACTTGCAATCTTTGCTGCGATCTCTAGGCGTTTTTCTTCTTCTGATGCATGTGAACAAGTATATGAGATATGAATATTCGTGTACCTTCGTCTGAACAGTTGTAACCAGGGATGGATTTACTGGGGGGATGCGGGGGGGGGGGGTGCACACCCCCCCTAGCCCTGGCCAGGAGGGGGGGTGCTATTTTTCATGATAAAGCAAAAAATTATCAGAGACAAAATGAGATTCAGTAATTTGAGTAATAACATGATGATAAGCGAACTGTGAACAACAATTACAATTCAAATACTGTAGCTAGACTTTGCAGTGGTTAAGCAAGTTGATGGATGTGTTACTCGTCCGGAAAAAAATTTTCCCTAAAAAGTTGTAAATGGGGGAGGGAGGTTGTTGCTTTCCGAAATTTTTTTTTGGCGGAGCACCCCCCCTACCAGACCATGCTGGATCCATCCCTGGTTGTAACTCATCCACTCGTTCACATCCATCAGAAGACCAGCAAAAGTTGCAAGTGTAAATGAGCCTGCAGGAGATTTTATTTATTTCTTGTTCAGAAACTGAGAAGTACGCGCATGTGACATTTTTCTTCAATGGTGGCCAAGAAGCGCAGTTTGAAGGGGAAGATCGAAAGTTGGTTCCATCACCTAAAGTGGCAACCTATGACTTGCAACCAGAGATGAGTTGTGATGGCGTTGCTGAAGAGGTATACAGGGGGGGGGGGAGTAAACCTAATCGTAACAGTCGCCACCATATCAGTATACCATGCAGCGCTAACTTGTGGGAACGGCAGGGGTAGTATACTTGGATGCACCATCTTGCTAATGTAAATTTCCCTAGTTCCAGGTCTCTTTTCCAAAAGTCATTACTCGATCACACTTCAAACCTAAGAGTAGATTGAAAGGAGCCGAATAATGCTTTCGTCTGGTTATAATTTCATGAACTTATGGAGGACTGTCGGACTGAAAAGTGAAAGAAATAAGACTGAAACCCGACTTTTAAACAACTCTGAACCCTAACCATCATGGCAACTTATGATAAAATATATATATCAAAATACCATACACTTTGGGTAACACTACTTTATATGTTCCTTGCAGGTTTGCGCAGGAATACGATGTGGTAAATATCCCTTCGTAATGTGCAACTTTGCAGCTCCAGATATGGTTGGGCATACAGGTCAATATGAACCCGCTGTGAAAGCTTGTACCGCTACAGGTATGCTATACAAGACACTAGTTGGGAAATTTGACGGCAGTAACTATGGTTGAACAAAAACTTATGTTTTGTTGTTAGACATGGCAATTGGTAAAATCAAAGCAGCCTGTGAGGAGAACGGTTATATTTTATTTATTACCGCTGACCACGGGAACGCAGAAAAGATGTATAGTGAGCAAGGTGGACCTCACACGGCACATACAAATTATAGAGGTATGGGTTCTAGTTAGTTTGAAGCTTCTCACGATAGCCGGTCAAATGGGGCAAACGCATGGTTACTTGAGACATGAGAACGAATGGAACACACACAGAGCCAGTTGTTGTGGTGTGGTGGTCATTACGCTTGCCTTCCAAACTGGGAGACCCGGCAGGGTGTTAGCTACAGTCAAAAATTCCGCGTTAAACGCGTTTTTCCCAATTACCTTGAGGTCGCAATTTCCCAATTTGGGTCAGAAATTCAATGTTGTTAATACGCCGTTATTTAAAAACATGTTTATAACTACATTTGCTCAAAATTACTCCCAAATGCGAGAAATGCTATTTCAAAGACACAAAAATTTTAAAAATAGAGAGGGGGAAACCGCATGCCCCCAGACCCACAAAGAAATACCCGGCTTCAGGCTAAAATAAATTTCCCAATTTCAGGTAAACGCGGATTTTTTTTTACTTCTGGCTAACACCCTGCCCGGGTTCAATCCTTGGTCTGACCTCTACTCAAAGTCTTAAATAATTGAGGAAAAAGTGCTATTTTTACATTCACATCAGTAAATGGTTAGACTTTCGCACCATGCACCCCTGACATGACCATGCACCCATGTTGACCAGCATTTTTGCACCCCCCCCCCCCCCCCCTCCACCCACCCCCGGGCAATAGTCTGTTGGGACATCCGCTCACCAATGAGTGAGGAATTCAATAAACAATAATTATCAATTATTGGACGAGGTTGAGCAAAATATCGTGATTTGTCGGTGGCGAGCAGATCAATTATCAGATACCCATTGTCAGATACCCATTGACATTTGAATAAAGTCACTTAAATGCTTGGTTACCTACATTATTCTCCATTCTTGTATTATCAATTCAGTAGTAACTAGGCATGACAACGTGTAAACGTTATTAGAAAGTTTGTACAAGAGAACGAAGTGCGATGACGAAGCACCCGTTCCGCTCATTGTAACCAATAATTTATTGGCGTTGTAGTGCCATTGTATGTAATAAAGTATTGGGTTGTAACTGAAGACAAAACCACAAGCATATAGACAAAAGTTTTAGTTATAAATAAATGTAATTGGCTTAGCTTGGTGGATGGTGGCGAGGCGAGGCGGTACGGTATTTTCCCCGGAGGGGCAGCGGACCGCCGGCTTTAGGGTTAGGGTTAGGGGTTAGGGGTTAGAGGTTAGGGGTTAGAGGTTAGGGTTTGGATTAGGATTAACGTTTGGATTAAGGACGAAGACATACTTGACAATTTTCGCCAGTCTGCGCATTATCGTGCGCATACCGAGTTTACGGTGAGGGAATTGGGTAATTAAGCCTTTAGGGGTTAGGGGTTAGAGGTTAGGGGTTAGAGGTTAGGGTTTGGATTAGGATTAACGTTTGGATTAAGGACGAAGACATACTTGACAATTTTCGCCAGTCTGCGCATTATCGTGCGCATACCGAGTTTACGGTGAGGGAATTGGGTAATTAAGCCTGGTTTACACTATCAAAGTTTCTGTGATCACAGTAGGAATTTTGCATGGGTAAATTCTAAGGTTTGAATGATTTGTAAGATTTGTGTTTAAGTCAGTTGCTCAAAAATGCGGACATGTTTTTTTCTTCATTTTAGTTCCACTAATAATGAACAACACAGATCTGAAACTCGCGTGTCCTGGAGATTATAACGTTGCACTGTGTGATGTTGCTACTACAATACTGGATGCCATGGGTATTGAACTAGCTCCGGAAATGACTGGACGATCTTTACTGGCGAATTAACTCTAAATTTTGAATCGATAGTATTGCAGATGTAATAATTTTTATTGATGCCCTTCGAGGGTATATTACAGAAGCGATTGAGTGTTTTACAAAAGGTGTCGAAGATGCCCCCTTTGCCCGGAGAACGTAGGGTCCCCACACTTTGTGTTCCAGGTGAGCAACAATGGCGGACACTTAATATCGTTAAAATATTATAATGGGGCGGTGGGGGCGAAGTTAAGTTGCCATCTTTCTAACACTCAACATATTATATCTTGTATACCTTCTATGTCTGTTCAAATTGAACAGTTAGACAATGCCGCATGAAACAACTCGATGGCTCTATTCTAGCGTCTCTTCAGAGGGCTTTCTGGTGGACTGCGAATGCTTCCTGCCTCATGAAAAGATCACAATTTCCCACTCCCTGCAGAAATCGAAATTGGATCGATCCATAATCCAGCGAGGGCCAACGGAGGAGGCAGGGCTGTGCCACTACTGTTGAGATATGATTGGGTCATTTTGCCGAATTGTTAAACGCCATCGATTTCAATCGATCATTTTTACAGTAATTGGAGACTCATGTTTAACCTGAATTCATAACGTCAAAACACAAACAAAAATATCATGTTCAATGTTTTAAATTCTTAAAAATATTTTGCATGAACTATTTTGGAAGAGGCAGTGAATCGGCGGAGAGCCACTTTAAGTAAACCGGTCAGCAGGTTTTCCAGGGGGGTTGTTCGTTGTTTACATTTAGAAAATTGCATCAGAAAATTTCACGTGTTTCGTGTTGTTGTCTTTGTGTGTGAAAATATTTTTGCTAATTTACATCAAGGAAATAATAAAATGATAATTTGTTAATACAAGTATCTTTTTAAAAGGACACGTGTGACTTGGTTTATTTTAGTTACACTGCTATTCGGAGTTTGTACAGTAATATCGAAAATTAAGAATGTTTCGCACTTTGGCTACTCGAGTTCTTAATAGTACACCGGCCAGACTTTCTGCAAGAAATCTGTCGTGTACTGCCTCGCTGTCTGTGAAGCTATCAGCTGATGAAATCTTTAAACGAGAGAATAAATACGGAGCACATAACTATCACCCTTTACCGGTGGCTTTAAATAAAGGTGAAGGTGTTTATGTCTGGGATGTGGAAGGCAATAGATATCTTGATTTTCTTAGTGCTTATTCTGCTGTGAATCAAGGACATTGTCATCCTAAGATTGTCGCTGCTATGAAGAAACAAGTTGAAAACATAACTTTAACTTCAAGAGCTTTTTATAACGACGTTTTAGGTAAGTGGGCAGGGCCGGACTGACTTGGGGGTGGGGTGTAACACCCCCAAAGAAAAGTCGGGAAGGGGGCCCGTTTTTTGGAAAGGAGGCCCCCAAATGCTGAAATTGCCAAACGTGAATTTTTTGAGAGCTGTCAATCCTTTTCACAGACAGGGAGAGTGGAGGAATAGACCCATTGCACATGACGTCACAGCGCCGGCGATGATGCATCTGGAGGACAAATTAGCAATCTATGCATAATATAACTTTTATTGTTATTGTACCCGAACAGATACTGTTAGGGAGCATCTGGAGGACACTCTAAGGATGTGTGATGTCAGTGCAAGGAGTTTTTAAAATTTGCTAAAAATAAATTTAAAATTTAAAAGGGTCTAAAGGCCAAATTAGAGAAACTTATGAAGTGGAAATGTGAACATACCAATCATCTTCCTAGGCGAATATGAAGAATATGTGACAAAACTTTTCGGTTATGACAAAGTGTTGCCCATGAACACAGGTGTGGAAGGAGGGGAGACAGCCTTAAAGTTGGCACGTAAGTGGGCATACAAGGTGAAGGGTGTGCCCAAGAATCAGGCTAAGGTCGTGTTTGCAGCAGATAATTTTTGGGGTCGTACGTTAGCTGCGTGTTCAGCGTCAACTGATCCTGATTGTTATGAAGATTATGGACCATATATGCCAGGATTTGAGATTGTGCCATACAATAATTTGGAAGCATTAGAGGTATACTGTATGCATTCTTTTATTTTTATGATAACTAAGAATCAATTTCAAATTTATTGATTTATGTGCTGAAAATTGCTGCTCCTTGTGGCAGTTGCCCCTCCCACCCCCACCTTGCTTCCTATGGCCCTCACTCTCCAGGCTCAAATTATAGTAAGTGAAGTGTGAAAAAGCAATATGTTGTGCACCTCGAAATTTAACTGCATTGTGTATTTGTGTATGTATGTTAAAGGTGGCAATTCAAGATCCAAACACATGTGCATTCATGGTCGAACCCATCCAAGGAGAAGCTGGAGTTCTTGTGCCAGATCCAGGTTATCTGACTGGTGTAAGGAAGCTATGTGATAAACATAATGTAAGTTCACGCTGAATTTTTCAACAATTGTCAGCTGGATTTAATTAGTGTATGGCATTTCACAGTAAACCTGTATGGCATATATGACTTAAAATTTACAATTGGTTGTATATATTTTTCAAATTTGTCAATGATATTCTATATTGCCAGGCAGTTTCTTATACCAATATTTCATAATCATGATGCTTAATTATTTGGCACCTTTTATCCAGGTTCTATTTATTGCTGATGAAGTTCAAACTGGTTTGTGTCGAACTGGAAGGTATAGTAGCATGCAGTAATACATCATCCACTTGATGGATGGGATTTGATTCGACTTCCACTAGACCACTACAGCTACCATTTTAACCAATCAGATGCATTTCTTATATCCGATTGATGAATCAGATGCAGACTAAACCAGTGAGAGGACAGAGGTAGCAGTAGTCAAAACTGAACCTCTCTAATTATCACACAAATCCCTCCTTGGCTTGGGTGCCTTGTTCTAATGAATTGTGTGTGAATAGCCTTTCCACTTGACTCACAAGAGTTAGGCACTCCAAGGCCAAGAAACTAGATGTGACATAATTATATACCTAAATGGCTAAAGGTTGTATTATTATACATGGCTCACAAGAATTTAAAGAAAAATGGTTTTACTGCACTAGGCGCCTCTGTGTGGACCATGAAGAAGTTCGTCCTGACATTGTAATTCTTGGAAAAGCACTTGCAGGTGGATTGTACCCAGTAAGTAGACAGTCTATCATAATTATATAGACTCTTTGAGTACAGAAACTGTTTAAATGTAATTAGTGTTATTAATTGATACAACATAATTTGTGACAAGATAATTAGCCTACAGTTCCTTCTATAGGTTTCTGCTGTGTTGTGTGATGATGAGATCATGTTAACAATTAAACCTGGAGAGGTGTGTATGTGCATCAGATGCGAGAGACAATGATATATAGAAAAAAAACACAACCTATATAAAATTATATGCATGGTGTGGCCAGGGGCATAACCAGCCCCAAATGAGCGGGGGAGCATGTCCTCAAAAAATGGGGGCACATTTAAGACACAGAAGGGTCTGTGAAACGTTAGTAAATGCATTTTAGACACGTTTTATGATAATCTGGAGGCCACAGATTTGGTATATTTTATGTAATAGATGAAAGCTATATACAAGGTTACGACCTCCCCCCACCCTACCCAATTTCTCTTCTGGATCCCCCTTGTGCCTACGCCCCTGGGTGGAGTAACCATACAAATCAATCTGTAAATTATAATGGTAAGAACTAATTCACCCCCCTCACTGCACTAAACCGAACCAGTTTCTGCATGTGACTGATATGAGCATAGTGAAATATCATGATTGTATTAAAAACTTCATATCAATTGAAACTAAGATTAATAAATCTAATAGCTAAACATGGCACATAAAATAGTTTGGTTTTTGATCTACTTCATTGCTTCGTTTAGCATGGCTCAACATTCGGTGGTAATCCTCTCGCTTGTAAAATTGCGATTGCTTCGTTAAAGGTGAGTGGCCTTTTTTACTAGTGTTATTTTTTCATCTTTGATATGAAGGAAATTTGTTATAATTTGTTTTCTTTCATATAGGTTTTAGAAGAGGAAAAATTGGCAGAAAATGCAACAAAAATGGGAGAAATACTTCGGTCTGAGATTTCGCTACTCAATCCAGAAATCGTCGTAGAAGTTCGTGGAAAAGGTCTATTTACTGGAATCACTATTAAGGAAACGAAAGGTCCGTCAGTATCCATTTTTACACTTTCTAGCCTTGACTGGATTTTGCTTAGGCTGTTTGGTTGATTTAATAAATACCTGATTACCTGAATTCTTATTAGACAACGCGGGATTTACGGAACTCGTCGACCAGATTTCCAATTTCAGGAGAGTTAATAGAATACTTTGTCTTTGACATCAATTTTGTGTATTCCCTCAGGAAGGGTTTTTTACAGCCAATATTTATATAGAAAACGTTGTAGGTAATGTACTGTACTTGGATCAGTTGGATGTACACACGTAAAAATCTCACACCTTATATCAAGTCTGCTAACAAGCCTTCAACAAGTTGTGTTCGCACTGCTTGTCCCAAGTTGTCAACAAGTTTGGAAGAAGCTGTTAACAACTTGTAACAAGCTTGATGACATTATCAGACTTGTGGCAAGGTTGTTCTAACAAGTCCAAAACAGTCCTGACATAACAATATTGTTACAACCTTGTAACATTCTTGTTATATCATGATTGTATCAGGCTTGTTAGAACAACCTTGTAACAAGTCTGATAATGCCATCAAGCTTGTTACAAGTTGTTAACAGCTTGTTTCAAACCTGTTACAACATACAACAACTGGGAACAAACAGTGCGAAGACAACTTGTTGACAGCTTGTGAACAGATTTGTAACAACTTGTTTGCAGACTTGTAACAACTTGTGCGTTTTGACGTGTGTACAGGCCAAGGATGTCTTAGACTAGGGAAAATTCTCCATTTTTTGAACAACTGAGTGCACACTGAGTCTCCAAAATAGGATTTTTTGCCAGCTCTATATGAAAGTTTATTGATGGTGAAAGATATTGTGTTTAGGTGTCGACGCATGGGACGTGTGCCTGCGACTGCGTGATAACGGCCTGCTTGCCAAGCCCACACATGGGGACAAGATACGCTTCACTCCACCTCTGGTTATCAATGAAGAACAGATTTTTGAAGCTATTGATATCATGAAGAACACTATCAATTCTTTATAGCCAAACTCTGCTGTCAAAATGAAGAACAAGTTTTTAAAGAAACACCAATTTGTTAGACAAAACACTATTTAAATTACGTTATATTGTGTATAATTTTAATTGGTTATGCATGTATGTATAAACTTTTTGCATAAATCAGTTAATATGTCTATGTGGTAGCCAGTAAAAACTTATAGAAAAAGTATACAATGAATATAGTCAAGGAAAAAAGATTATTGACGGCTTAATAAATTTCTTCCTAAAAAATAAAAAGGGAGCCTTTAATTATTAGAAGAGGGCATATTAAATAGATTTTCATAGACAGACAGTGGTCTTTTTTCAGGGATGTTTAAAAAATCTAATTAGGTTGGGACTATGATTTCTGGCTTCTTAATTTCAATCGGAATACTTTGAATACAGGGAATAGATTATTAAGTACTGTTTAAAACACGAGCAGTACTAGTGTTTTATCAGATGTGAAGATACGAGGCGAAGCCGAGTATCTTTAGAGAAATCTCTATCACATACAGGGTGAGTAAAAAAAACTGACACCTCTTTGACTTGTTATTCAAATTAGCCGCGAAGGTATCAGTTTTGTTTTTTTCCTCACCCTGTACCCTGTATGAAGATACAACACGCTTATAATTTCCTTTGTGTTTTCCTCATGAATTATTGAGTTTTTGAAGGGTGGAACAATAGCTATCCTGGGGGAGGATAAAAATATTCATGCATGCATGCAAAAGGTGGAATTTGAAAAAAATTTATGCAAGCAATTTAGAGAGAAAAAATCAATTACATGGAAGACAGAAAATTCCTCCACAGCATAAACTAAATATTTCGACAAAAGTTCTGCTCCGAATTAAAAAAAAGTTCTTGCAAGGATATTTCCTAAATTAATGACCACCCACCCTTTTAATATTAGTCATGCATTCACAACTATATATTTCCGGCAATTGCATATTTTCATCGATTTATCGTTTAAATTCTTTTATGCATGTGGTGGCTCTGAAAAGAGCCGGTTTTTTTGGTCTTTAGAAGACGGATTTATTTCTTTTGAGCTTTCTTTGCAGCTGGTTTCTTTCCAGCCTTCTTCGGCGTCGGTTTCTTGCCTGCTCTCTTGGCGGGAGACTTTGCTTTGCTTTTCTTTGTTGTCGTTTTGGCCCCCTTCTTTGGTGTACCAGTCTTCTTCGCAGCCTTCTTCTTGTCCGAAGCTTTTTTCCCTGCGGGCTTCTTCCCTGCGGGTTTCTTCGTGGCGGGCTTCTTCGCGGCGGCAGGCTTCTTGGGTTTCGTGGTTTTCTTGGCAACTGGTTTCTTGGTTGCTGGTTTGGCTTTCGCCGCTTCAGTGAGTGCGAATTTGAAAGGTCCACCTTTGCCATCTCTCACCTTGCCAGCTTCTTTAAGATTTTTAATGCTTTTGTTCACCATCTTACTGCAGTTGCCACCAATTCCTACGTAATTACTTTGGACGTATTTGACGATTGCTTGTCGACTCGATCCGTTTCGCTCTTTTAGTCCTGCAACAGCTGCAACGACCATCACGGAGTAAGGAGGATGAGCAGGTTTCGATGCGGATGCTGGTTTAGACATCTTCGACTTTCAAATTCAACGCTTTAATTTCAACCAGTGCTTTCAACTCTACGCTTTCAAAATTATGAATACATTTCGAAAATCCCGCGTGATTATATATCAATGCTGGCCGGACCCCTACGTACATACCTGCAACATTTCAAACATGGTGGTTTAATTTGCTACATTGTGCTTCTTTTGTGACTTTCCCGTCGATTTTGGGATACGTTTTTGCATTATATTCATAACAGACTAAATTAATGCATAGATACAAACTTCAAAATTTAGAATCTACTCTTTTAATAGGTTACAGGGAGGTCAGAAGACTCTAATTTGATAAAATATCCAAAATAATTCCTTCACGTTTGACATTTACTTTATATTCAAACGACTCCACTAGCTAGAACGCAACTATCTCTCAAGTTTAAAGACAATTAACTAAGATTCGGAGTTATAATGTTTCATACTATTAACTCTTAACGTAAGAATACGTGTCATTTCGTTTCGAATTTTTCAATTGAATTTCGCAAGGAAACACAACACGATATTTCTGACATTTTTGAACCCTCGGTCCTCGACTCCGCATAATTGACATAATTCAACCAAATGGAAGGTTTCTGACTAAATAATACTAAATAGTACAGTTAGTACCCAGCAGTTACATGTTTTAACTTTAATTTAGGGTATAAACTAGTAAAGTAATCCCGTGTGTTTGAAGTTAAGAATTTTAGTAGAGAGTATATATGGCGAAATTAGTCATTTATGCGTTGTGATGAATCTCAGCTCTAGTTGAGTATTGACCGTCCAAAGACAAGAGGCGGGATTGACTATTGTCAATGGTGTCTGTTCATTATATTCTGCTTTAAAATAATTAAATCCTTTTACATGTCGATTTCATATTTTTTGTGGGATACAAGCACTGCTCGCAAGTTGCAATTGAATGTACTATTAAAGCCTCGTTTACACTAGTCACTACGCTCAATTTTTGGTTACCAATTTTATCCGTGCCGTACCAAAAATTGAGCGTAGTGTAAACGGGGCTTTATTGGGCTTACTGTAAGTCTATTTTCCACCGGCACTTCGCTCTATTAAAACTTGCACTAGTTAGTCACTAGTAATGTAGTATTACTATTGGTAGATTTCAGTGAGCGTTCTTTTACTGTAATATACAGGACAGCAGATGGACTCAGACAGAAATAGATGCCAAGAGAGTTTAACAGAAGCTTTGGTGAATACATATTTATTGGTGACTTTACTATGTATTTAATATTTTATATATACGATATACCAACACATACTCTGATAGTCATAGCTTCTTCAAGCAAGAGGATCAAATTTTGGGTTATATTAACCAATCATAAAGCTCAATTGAGCAACCAATCACATATAAATATTCTTAACCAATCTGATTTCGATTTCTTTGTTCCGAATCAGCCAATAACGTGAGGATATCCTGTGGCTATAAATGCTTGGGCGCAAAGTTTAAATTATTTTATTTCCAAGTTGGCAAATTCTTCTGCGAAGTTTATATTCCAAAGCAAGATTCAAGTTGTGAAATGGCTCGTACAAAGCAAACCGCTCGTAAATCAACTGGTGGAAAGGCACCAAGAAAGACCTTGGCAACGAAAGCTGCTCGTAAGAGTGCCCCAGCTACCGGTGGTGTGAAGAAACCTCACAGATACAGGCCAGGAACTGTCGCCCTGCGAGAAATCCGTCGTTACCAGAAATCCACCGAGCTTCTGATCCGCAAACTGCCTTTCCAACGTTTGGTTCGTGAGATTGCTCAAGATTTCAAGACCGACCTTCGTTTCCAAAGTTCAGCTGTGATGGCTTTACAAGAAGCAAGCGAAGCTTACCTTGTTGGTCTGTTTGAAGACACGAACTTGTGTGCTATCCACGCCAAGCGAGTGACCATCATGCCCAAAGACATCCAGCTGGCACGACGAATCCGTGGTGAACGAGCTTAAATCAAGTCCTAAAGACAACCAAAAAAAAAACCGGCTCTTCTAAGAGCCACCAAATTTACAAAAGAATAAAATCGATATCTAGATATCAACACTTGAATACACCCCATATTCGTATACATTTAAAGTCAAATTTGCACACTAGGCCCACTAGCAAGTAAGTTGTATAACTTGCTCGCAGGAACACTCCTTGCATAATGTGTGAAATCTTGCCATTCACCCTCCTGGAAAGCCCTAGGGTTTGAAAGTGACCCCTTAAACTAAATTAAACTGTAAAACTTACTTCACATAACATGTTGATGCTTTTCAAATTTCAACAAATATCCATAGTTGTACTTTGACCCCAATTGGTAGTGATACTTTGTGGGCAAAATTGCTTTTGTCCAATTTTAAATACCCCTGAAAAAGAGAAAGTCTTGATTTCTAATTTTACAGTAAAAGTCCAGGACTTTCTTTAGGGGTATTTAAAATTTAAGGAGGTCTTGCATTCTGACAATGGATAAGTTACCAGATCAAAATCACAAAGCTACCAATATGTAATTTCACCATACTTTTGCAAGCAAAATCCCACTTTTATAATAGTATTGCCAATCCACCATTCAGTCAAAATATGTACCTAATACCATTGTCTTTTATCACTAACACCCATTGAAGAGCCCACACTCCCCTTCACAAGTAAAATTGTCTGATGTAAAAATAAATCATAATGCATGGGATGCATTAGGGAATTTGTATGTTTTGTATGAGCACAACTGGAACAATTTGTACAGTAGGATGCAGGCTAGCTTAATTAAGGGCAAGTTGACACATATTGTCCAAGCTTTCACCTCCACCCCATATTGTTTACAGCAACATGACCCCCCTCCCCCCCCCCTTAACACAGCACCCTCAAAAGTCCCCATTGAAACAACCATCTCTTCCCAGGATGAATTAATTGTCCCTATTAATATCTGCATTCCCAATTTGTGTCGCACCAAATTCTCAAAAAATTATGTTATTTTGGTAGTTACATGTTTCAAGGTAGTTACAGTTTGACTACCTCACAGGCATTCTTTGTGGGTGATGTCAATAAACTTGGCATCTAGTGTCGTAATCTTTTAATAACACCCTCACATTCACCCTCACCCCCACAACAAACACCTGTGAGTTTGCCAATTTTTTTCAAACATGAATCACCCGATAACACTGCCAATCTATCAATATATAGTAGAATTAACCAAAAATTTGAGAGATCTGTTTCAGCCTTTGAGGTCATGGTAAACATGAATCAATTGCTGACACCATAACTCAAACACCATCACAAAGTCTACATACTTTGGCCTCGAGTTTAGCTTTATGGTGCATTTTTACCACTTGACCATTTGCAACAAAGTTTCACATAATTGCAACAAAGTTTCACATAATTGAAACAAAATTAATAAATTCTGCAATCGCTATTTTTATTGCAGCAGTGGTAACCTGCAGGATCAAAATGAAATTTTATTAACCAATCCAGTTGCAGAATTAATGACCAATAAAAACATAGAGAAAGACCCTTTTTTTAACCAATCCAAAGTCTTCTATCTTATCCAATCAAAATTATCTCTTTGCTGTCTTCGTAGACGTACGGCCCTTATGATTTTATAAATTTCCGGGAGCAAATTCGGATGGCAAATCATTTATATCTCGCTGTAGAAGGGTTTACATTGAAAGTTCGAAGATACTAAAATGTCAGGTCGTGGTAAAGGAGGCAAAGGTCTAGGAAAAGGAGGTGCCAAGCGTCATCGTAAAATCTTACGAGACAACATCCAGGGAATCACAAAGCCCGCCATTCGTCGTCTCGCTCGTCGCGGAGGTGTAAAACGTATCTCTGGTTTGATCTATGAAGAAACTCGCGGTGTTCTCAAAGTTTTCCTCGAGAATGTGATCCGTGATGCCGTCACCTACACCGAGCACGCCAAGAGAAAGACCGTCACTGCCATGGATGTTGTCTACGCCTTGAAACGACAAGGACGAACCCTCTACGGCTTTGGTGGATAAACTGGACATTGAAAGAACAAGACAAATACAAAAAAACGGCTCTTTTAAGAGCCACCAAATCTTTCAAAAAGAATATGAATGAATTTTCGTAGTTCGTACTAAATACATTCTATAAACCGCCCAAATAGCTTGTGGGTTTGGTATTTGTGAACCATCCGAC